ATTGTATAAGCCAGAAATCTGGGAGCTCTCCTTTGCTCTGCTTGTTTCCTCTGCTTGTTCATCCTCTTTGTGAATCTTCAGTAACCATAGTAATTTGTTCTAAATGCAAATTTTAGCAGCTTCCTCGCCTTTAAAAACACTTAGTGGGTTCTGTTTGTTCTAGTCTCACTTCATTCCACTGTGAAGCTCTGTGACTTTGGGCAAGGCACCTAACTTTTCTGTGCCTTGTGCAAAATGGGAATGATCGTACATTTGCATTAAGTCAAGATAGTAATTTTTATAAAGTCACTGAATACTAAACCATTGCTCCTAAGGGAAATTACAGGTTAGGTTCCTGTAAGCCTTCTGGTCACAGATTTTGTCAATCAATACATAACCTTGTTTTATTTTTCTGTTTAGAGATAACTTATTTAATAAATATTATTGACTCATTAACTTTGAACTCATGGCCAAAAGCAGTGTAACTCATTCCTGAATGAAGCTTATCTAGCAACGTGTATTTTCTCCCTAAGGCATATCTATTATTCCCTTCTTGTGTTTGGGAACACTGGACAGCACTTTAGCACAATGCTGGAGGTGGGGCTGGGGGCACATTTGAAAAACTGAAATCACCAACAAAAAGCACAAGACTGAAAACGTGGCACTAAATAAGACCACCAAAAGGTTTAAGTAGGAGAGCTGCAGCGAGAAGGCAGCATTGCCTTGCTCGTCCTCAGCTGAGAACTGGTTTGAATGAATGAGCTAATACCTGCAGAGGGTTTAGACTAGTGCTGTGGCACATAGTAATATAAATGTTAGTGACAATGATAATTATAGCTTTGCAGCTATAATACGTTTTCATTGAAATCTCTGCCCTTTTTTGGCGCGTGTGCACGTGCGCGTGTGTATAATGTTCCTAAATTTGGACATCCCATGGCTGTGTGAGATATTGGGCAAGGCCAAAGGATTTATTCTTATTTCATAGGTGGTAAATGGTGGTGGGCAGCGATATAACAGGAAAGAGTCTTTTTGCTTCTAAAGGTTTTGAAAATGTTGCAGAAAATAAATGAACTCATAACTGGGGCTCTGTCTCTCGAAGATCTAGATCCTACCCTTCACCCTTTTAAGTTTTCTGCTTAAATGAGTTGCCATCAGAACTGATTTTTATACCTGGAATCTCTGCATAAGGAATGCTTAACCCAGGCCATGTAAGTTCCTATATGTTATATGTTAGAGAAACAATAAGTAATAGGTAGACATAAATAGGAGCAGGGGAGTCTGTGAAATGACGTAAGTGGATTTAGGCTTTTTAAAAAATGAGGTTGGAGTATGGCATTATTAATTAGCATTTAAAATGGTGACGGATTAATGTCAACCTTAAGATCTCTGTTCATGGTTGCCAATCTGTTATTAAGTTGAAAGTTCTTTTTCTTTTTTTTTTAAAAAAATAGGTGGATGGAGAGAAAAAGAAAGAGCCAGAGAAGAGAGTTGGGGTCCACCTCGAGAATCGAGACCATCAGAAGACCGTGAATGGGACAGGGAAAAAGAAAGAGACCGAGACCATCAAGATCGTGACGAGAACGACAGGGACCCAGAGAGAGAGAGAGACAGAGAGAGGGACAGAGAGAGAGACGCGGATCGAGAGGACCGCTTCAGACGGCCTAGGTTTGACATCCGCGTTACAGTTAGGATTCTTTCAGTGCTGTCCTGTGTATTCCCAACTATTTTTGAAAAGTGATGCTCCTCATTCCCCCCAGTTTATCAGTTAGAATCATAGTGCAGATTAAAAAAAAATTTCAGATGTCATCTAATTGAACCATTTTCCTCTACAAAGTGAAGAAGACATGGAGGCTTGAGCTGTGTGGCTGTCAATAGACTGTGTAACTCTGGCACTGGAACCAGTTCAAGTTGTCTTCACCAGGCTGTTGGTTTTCCCCTGTGGTTGAGGCCAGCTTATTGCCTTTAAATTATGAAAAGCCCCTTTACTTCTATTGGTTAAGAGTTCTAGCTTGCTGCTTCTGAGCAAAGTGGCTTTGTGCTAATCTAGACAAGCACACTTGAATACAGTTTTCTGTAAGGATGAACATGTCCTATATATATGTAGTGTCCAGTTTGGTAGCCAGCATCTGGCCAGTGAGCATTTGGAATGAGTTAGCGATGCTAAGGGTATGTCTTGGTTTTATTTTAGTTAATTTAACGACGACTGTGTTGGATGGTGCAGATCCAGATATTCTCATTTGACTTCCATGCCTGAGGCATCAGTTTGCAGTCAAGTCACGTGTTTAAATTTTATTCCTGTTATTATTTGCAAACTCTTTGCGCACCAAGATGGATAGGATATTTTCACTTATAATTACCCATGGAGTCTAACGACGGAACCTACCATGTCATTTTGAATGGCTACAGAGATGAAGGTGGCTGGAGACGAGGACCAGCTGAGGAATCTTCAAGCTGGAGAGACGCGAGTCGTCGTGATGACAGGGATCGGGATGACCGCCGCCGTGAGAGAGATGATCGCCGTGATCTAAGAGAAAGACGAGATGACCGAGATCGAAGGGGACCTCCTCTCAGATCAGAGCGTGAGGAAGGTAGAGGTGTTCTTTCTGTGTGACCAGAAATCCCTGGGGAGCTGGAATAACGGGGGGTTGTACGTTTTACTATCTTGTCAATTTGCATAAACACCAAAAATAAGATGGGCAGTAGATCAGTTTATTCCATTTAGAGTTCATAGTTCTCACAAACTTAACGATTGCTCTGTGAAGTTTAGATCTTCTTCAAATTCGAAGTACAGTGGTAGACTACGTTGGATAGTAAGCTATATCTATATTGGTAAAACATTTATTTTATGTAAACAAGGAAACAATTTATCAGTTATTTAAAAGTAAGGTCCTCGTGGATAAGCACAAAGTGTAAAACATTCTCTGAAATGGCAACATTTGAAACTTTAGTAGGAAATACTTTTTTTAAAATGACCATTGCACTGAAGTAAGTCATTGTCTCACAAGCTTTTGCTATTTTATGTGTACGACTGGATTGTAAGGGTATTTCTTCTTTTATAGCCATAATGAAATACATTCTTTTACTTATTTGCTGTTAAATTTTCTTCAAAAAGAGCCAAAAACCCTTTAGAAATTTTTTATTCAGCCAGAATTTTGTCACTTTAGCCTAAATTTTTTTAAGCAATTAGGATATTTCCCAGGCCAGTGGTTTCTTCCTGCTTGCCAGCTTACATTTCTAAGGATGTATGTTTTAAAGGTTTTTTCAGAAATTGTATCAAAATGATTAAAGTGTATTT